AGACGTAGGGCATGCGGTATGCGCTAGGTTATAAACATCCATCTTGTCCATTTCTTTCATCCCATAATTTTCTTTTTGGTCTCCCATCTTTACACATTTTGATACAAATATTGGTTACGAATCTTACGACTTGAAATAGCCGTTATCAGCCGTTATAAAGAAATGCATGTATATGCATATATTTGAAATTTCCAAGTCTGATTTCGAATGTGCGCGGATTTGTGGATGCGTAAAGCGCAATCCCCTTAATAGCCAATGAGAATCTCTCTTACAAGGAATCATTCCCAAGTGTCCGCCCCCGATCTTATTGATTTCCATATATGTCGAAGAACACAAAAATCTAAGAGACACGTGTTTTTTTTATATCTGCAATGGTCCACATTTAAGGGGTGAAACAACCCCCCAAAGTTTAGCGAAAAATCGGTTTTTTAAATATTTTTCGTAGGAGCAGTGGAGGGATTTCGACGAAACTTTGTATAAACGTATTCTGTATAAGGACGGTGACAACACAATATTGTTCAGCAATGTTGCACCCCCTCAAGGGGGTGAACTACCCTTCAGGTGACATTTTTTTGTAATATCCATTAAACAAGCACTCCTACTTAAGTTCCACTTACGCGATGTGATTGCTCACAAAAAATGAAGAAATACGTGTTTTTTGCTTTTTGCCAATAAACATTTACACATCGGTTGTAAACAATGAATGTAGGTGGTATACGGGTATATTCCGAGTAGCTTTATTGGGTTATATCGTGACCAATTCATTGTACATAAATCTTGTGAACGTGCTTATTCCTCAAAATGTCCTTGGTTTTCATAGCATGCAATTATTTATAAATAAATTTAAAAAAAAGTTTAAGAGACTAAAATAGTTTCGCAACAGATCCGATGACGCAGTCATCACCCGTTTCCAACTAGTAATACAATCTCCTTGGTGAAACGGTAAAATTGGATTTTTACTGTTTTTACGATAATAGAGTTAGCGATATTCGTAAATAATTGCATATTATGAAAACCAACGACATTTTGAGGAATTAGCACGTTCACAAGATTTATGTACAATGAATTGGTCACGATATAACCCAATAAAGCTACTCGGAATATACCCGTATACCACCTACATTCATTGTTTACAACCGATGTGTAAATGTTTATTGGTAAAAAGCAAAAAACACGGATTCTTCATTTTTTGTGAGCAATCACATCGCGTAAGTGGAACTTAAGTAGGAGTGCTTGTTTATTAGATATTACAAAAAAATGTCGCCTGAAGGGTAGTTCACCCCCTTGGGGGGGGGGTGTAGCATTGCTGGACAATATTGTGTTTTCACCGTCCTTATACGGAATACGTTTATACCAAGTTTCGTCGAAATCCCTCCACTGCTTCTACGAAAATTGTTATAAAAATCGAATTTTCGCCAAACTTTGGGGGGTTGTTTCACCCCTTAAATGTCGACCATTGCAGATATAAAAAAACACGTGTCTCTTAGATTTTTGTGCTCTTCAACATATATGAAAATCAATAAGATCGGGGGCAGACACTTGGGAATGTTTCCTTGTTAGAGGTAAATAGGTGAAAAAAATCTCATTGGCTATTGACGATATTGCGCATGCGCTCTGCACGTTTAGTTTGGGGTAATATACTTCGTGCCTGCGTAGAAAACTAGGGACGTATTATACGTTGTAATATACATGTAAAAAACCACGTATATTACTTGACGTATTATACTTACCCAACCCTGGCGTTATGTCTCCTTATATTGAGTCGAGGAATAAGATACGGTCGTTTTTAACGTAACGTAACGTAACGTAATTAATGTGGCGGGAACTTATTTCTCGATCGAATACTACTTCATGGTCTCACCGATAGTACCAATGAAACTATGTAAAGCGAACGTCGCCTCCTTCCTGCCAGGAAGTGCGTAATTTATAGATAATTATGCCGTCGCACAATCACGATCATGCCTGTCCTGTATCGCAAATTCGATGGTGAGAAATACGTACCACTCGGCTCGCAATTACTCGCGAATAAAGCGATTGAGAGCCATCCACGGATCTTACGAGAATGGGTATTGTTAAATGGCGCGATTATGTGTCGTAACCACGTAAGAATAGGACATTGTTTTTGTAACAAATGATTATTTTTATTTTCGATCTTTGCCTATTATATATATATTAATTATTATAAGATAATAAAAGGAGGGTAAGACGACAAGAGGAGAGTCAATCAGTAAAGTCAAGAGCGACCTTAACAAATGTCGAAATCGATCCCGAGGTAGTCGTTAATACCATTGATCTATACATTAAGGTGAAGTGAAACACCCTTCAGATCAGTCGATTTGAATACAACACTTTTTTTTAAGGGTATTAGACCAAACTGTCCGAAACTTTGACACGTCACTCCTGATCATCTAAGAATTGTCCCTACACGTTCAAAATTTGGATTTTTTTTTTTAATTTTGTAATACAGCCCACACCAGAACCAAAATGGCGTCGAGCTCTCATATTTCGATCAATATACAATCATTGAAGGCTCTGATATGAGAATCGAAAGGGTCAGGACAATTTTACGGTAATTTAGAACACTCTGGTAATCGATAAACTCGCATTTGAACGGGATAAAGGCAAAAGAAGTGTTGTATGCGCTTGTAGTGTACAATGCGGTAAATTTGTCACACTATGACTCAAGTATCAGCTACAGACGCTGCAATTGTCTATCAACAATGCGTGAGATAAAATTAGCTGTACATACGCATACAAACATTGAGACATTGCATGTACTTAACTTTGTTTCATATTTAAGTCTTTTTTCGTTCGTCATTGTGTACCACAGGTATGAGTTGCAAACGAGTACTCATAAGCAACCCCCTTATCACTCATTTCATGATTTTTTGTGAGGCAAATTAGATGCAAATTTTGCATCCCTATCTCTTTTGGTTTTTAAAAAGGGAAATTGTTTTCACTGCCCAGATAGAAATTCATGATCATCATATGGTGACGAATCGATTTACAAATAATTTGAAGAAAAATTCGCGATACTATGTGTAACAAACTTACCGCAAATACCAGCTACAGACATACTTAAATATCAGCTACAGGCGCTGCAATTGTTTATCAGCAATGTGTGAGATAAATTTCGCTGTACATATGCGTACAAACATTGAGACATTGCATGTACTTAACTTTGTTTCATATGTAAGTATTTTTGGTTCGTCAGTGTATACAGCAGGTATGAGTTCCAAATGAGGACATTAGCAACACCCTCACGACTCGTTTCATGATCTTTTAAGAGGCAAATTAGATGCAAATTTTGCATCCCTATCTCTTTTGGTTTTTAAAAAGGGAAATTGTTTTCACTGCCCAGATAGAAATTCATGATCATCATATGGTGACGAATCGATTTACAAATAATTTGAAGAAAAATTCGCGATACTATGTGTAACAAACTTACCGCAAATACCAGCTACAGACACACTTAAATATCAGCTACAGACGCTGCAATTGTCTATCAGCAATGCGTGAGATAAAATTAGCTGTACATACGCATACAAACATTGAGACATTGCATGTACTTAACTTTGTCTCATATTTAAGTATTTTTGGTTCACCACTGTATTCCGCAGATATGAGTTCCAAATGAGGACATAAGCATGACTCGTTTCATGATCTTTTAAGAGGCAAATTAGATGCAAATTTTGCATCACTTGGTCTACTCGGGGTGTTATTCCGCATCGCGTGAGTCCTCGACATCTCGTACCTCGTACATACGTTAATCTTCGATCGGTAGATTAGCCGAGTCACACGAGGGTGCAAAATAAGGCGCGGCAAGTTCATTAGCTACCACTCCTCCCTTCCCAGAAGCGTGGTTTACTTTTCGCCCTCGTCGTGCTCCAATTTAATCGGGACCAGGTTCTCCAGCTGAGAGGAATTCCCGTAGTTCGCCCGTAGAACCCGGAGGAGGCCATGGGGTTGTATAAGTGGAATACTCGTGAAAGAACCGTGTCAAGTTAGCTAGCAACAAAATATTCAACGAGGAGAAATTCTGGGGTAAAGGTAACCTTTCGCGCGTGCTTTTAAGATGATATGGAAGGCGCTGAGAAATTAAATCCCGGTTGATAAATTACAATTCATCTATACACTTTTTGGTGCGAACGCCATTTTGAATACTCAAGTGGTAACATAAGCTGGCGCGTCCCGTTACCGACATTTATATTTATGTTGAAGGCTTTTACAGTCTACGTTGATAATTATAAGAACTGAAGTGTTTCATATGCCATTTCGGTAATGTAATGATGAAGAGATCGACGCAAAACTGTCGAAATCCAGTGAATTCATTATTCTAACGATTGTTTAGGACCAACGGCGCCATCTGTGACGTTTTGCTGCAACTAAATTTTTGCACTAAAAACACGTGTTAGCTTCGAGACAAGCCAGCATTCTCTTGCAATCGTTAGTGAAAGTATTTTCCATATTTTCACATCTGACTCTGTACTATTCCAATTGTAAAGTGTTCTAAATTGTTCGAGCTAGCTCCTAAAGCACTTCATTTTCGATTTTAAGCCATCAAAAAGCGTAAATACATGAAAAAAGCCCACGGACCACCCCATGTCGGTTCTAGTACATTATATATAAGTAAATTTTTCATGAAAACTAAAGTTTCATGAGTTTTAAAGTCTACCTTAGGGCCTCCATATTCCCGTGGAAAACTTTGAAACAAATCTGTACACCCAATTCGGAGAATACTTTCACCAACTATTCGACCTCTTAGATACGTGTAGGCTGCCTCTTTCATATCACCTTAAATGTATTTGGCGCGAAACTCTACCGAGTTTCCTGATGTTATGTGTTTTGATTATCGAGTTTCCTGATAAGAGCCGAGGCTAGAAAACGAGCCAACTACGACAACCTGAAGATCCTCATCGAGAGAACTTTTTTAGTGGGGCGGAGGGAGGTGTTCGAGATTTGTACCCTGAAGAAGACCCCAAGAGGACCCCGAAAAAGCCATGAGATCTACGGGAACCACCACGTCTTCCACCATGTCGGCGCCACCCTGCTCTTCGGACGAAGTGGCCATAAGTCCTGGGGACTGCGTCGAGGGCGGCGTCGAGGAGTGGCTGGAGGACGAGGCGTTGGCCGGCTTCAGGGTCTGGCAACTCGCCGCCATCGTCCTCTCGGTCCTGCTCGCCCTTATCGTGGCTCTGTGCTGCTGCATCCGGTTCAGGGTGCCAAGGACCAAGCAGGAGATCGAGGCCGATTACATTCGCAAGAAGATCACCAGGAGTTTCGGGAAGGAACTGACCAAGATCGCCAACAACGAGATGGACGAGATGGACCTGAGAAGAGGTAGGTCTGCTCCAGAGGAAGGGAGACCTGATACCTTTAACTAGTGCGTTTACCAGGTGCTACTATGCACCGATTCTATAACTACTAGTGTTAAGGTGAAGTGAAACACGTCGAGGAACTTGGTCGACGTCGATAAAGAAGATTCTTTTTAAATGCCTACGGTGCCGACGTTCGTTTTTATATTGACAGCTGGGTCGAATTATATTGGGTGTTGTACCAAATGGCATACTCCACCTGTCATTTTCGTACAATAATTATAAAGAAATCGACGTAAAACTCCAGAAATCCTCTGGATTCATGCTTTCCGGGGTCCTAATTGACTGCAGAGGGACCCCCTGCGCCATCTGTGATTTCCAGGTCAATTAAATTTTCACTCCGCGACCTCGTATTTCCATCGTTTTGGCACAGAAGCGCATACAACACTTATTTTGCCTTTATCCCGTTCAAATGCGAGTTTATCGATTACCAGGGTGTTCTAAATTGTCGTAAAATTGTCCTGATCCTTTCGATTCTCATATCAGAGCCTTCAATGATTGTATATTGATTGAAATATGAGAGCTCGACGCCATTTTGGTTCTGGTCTTAGCTATGTTAAATAATTTTTTCCAAAAATCCAAATTTTCAATGTGTCGGGACAATTCTTAGATGATCAGGAGTGATGTGTCAACGTTTCGGACAATGTGGTCTAATACCCTTAAAAAAATGTGTTGTATTCAAATCGACTGATCTGAAGGATGTTTCACTTCACCTTAAGGTGATATGAAAAAGTCAGCCTATACGTATCTGAGAGCTCAAATCGTTGATGAAAGTATTGTCCGAATTGGGTGTACAGATTTGTTTTATTTTACCACGGTTTAATTTTACCACGGGAATATGGAGGCCCTAAAGTAGGTTTTGAAAGTCATGAAACTTCAGTTTTCATAAAAAATTGACTTACATATCAAGGACTAGAACTAACGTGGGGTGGTCCGTGCGCTTTTGTGATGTTTTACGTTTTTTGAAGGCTTAAAATCGAAAATGAAGTGCTTTAGGAGGTAGCTCGAACAATTTAGAATACTTTACAAATGGAATATTACAGAGTCAGTTAGACTCATTCCAACCGCGGTTACATAGTAATACATGATTATTGTAAATTTTTTCAAACATTACATGCAAAACTAAAACGCTAAATCGTTCTATACATGAAGAAGATGCATTAATAATTACTTCTGTTTATATTACGTTGAGATGTTAGCATAAATTTAGTATTTTCCTGTTTGTTGGTCTTTTCAATTTTGAAATTTGCCGCCAAATTCCCGGGCTACCCCTTCTTGCCCTCGCTCGGGATCGAGGGTAGAAAGGGTAGAGAAAGTGTACCCTCGGGGTAGATGCCCTCGTAAAACGAACAGCGACATCTGCGTCACTTCCGTCAAAACGAACGTTAAAGTGTACTCTTTTCGCAAAAGTGTAGAAAGTGGAGGCAAAACGAACAAACGTATTGATGACATTGGACTGAGAACTATTTCTTTTATTTTTTATTATATATAACATTTTATATTATATGCATTTACGTGACCAGCGCTGGACAGGGTGAAGGCGGAGTTCGACGCGGACGTAGAGCTTCTTCGGGACCCTAAGGAACCGGAGCATGTGACCTTGGAGAACAAACACCACCGTGGATTCCTCTCGAGGTTCACAGGGATTCTCCGAGGGATGCGCGCCAAACTCACAAAGGACGAGACCAAGGAACTGCGCGTTATCGTTTAAGGTGATATGAAAGTAGCGTCAGAAGAATCAACCATTTATGAAACTTCTCCGAACTGAGGGTGCCGAATAGTTTAAATGTTTAACCTCGTAAACATAGAGGCCCCAAAGAAGGTCCTGGCACTCTTGGAGTTTAATTTTTTAATAAAAAAAATGTCTATAAACATTTAAATAAGAAATCATATAGGTGACCGGACCTCCCTTAAACCAGTCGATTCCAATTAGACACTCTTTTTTAAAAACTTACCGTCGACATAAGAAATTCAATTTTTATGATAACGTACGTTATACCTATGTTTATGTCAGTGTTCTCATACATTTATCTTAAGGTAGTAAGTAGTAAAATATCATTTTATGCTCAAAAGTGTGGTTTGTCGATGATCACTTACCTTTCCTCTCTTCCTCGGGAAGGGGTAGAGTCATTGTAACTTAAACGTAAGAAATAGTAACGAGTTTTATATGCAAACGAGCAATCTGCATCGCCTGCGAGAAGTTTCGCCACCTGGCGGTCCTGTCGAAACTAATGGGGCCAAACCGTTGTTTCTGCAATCGCGTAGGCAAGTTTTGAATAACCTTGCAAGGGGTATAATCTTACTATAATTCTGGTTACAGCTCCCAGATAAACCTTCCATTTTGCTGTGCGTATTCTAACCTCTTCATGTAGTTAATATTACCATTCCAAATGATGATCACTCCTGCATCTTTTATGCGCAGCGCCATGGATACAATACCTCTTGGCAAGGTTACATTTACCATTCCATGATGACCATTATGATGACCATTCACCATTTGTGTGGTTTTACTTCTCACAGTATTTTAACCTAGTCCCTATAGTAATTGTAACCAAATTATTATTTTCTATGCAACTAATTGTCAAGAACTTACTGCGACAGACAAGCGGCCACTTTTCGTTTTCTCACCGTTCTGCGAGCGGCACCTAGTGAGCAGTCCATGTACTATACGTCCATGAAGGGAGGTCCCAGTCGGCGTAGACAAGGGTGAACGGTCAGACTAAATATAATCTTTATTTCCTCTGGTAGATATACGGTGATACATAAATTAACTTACTCCGCATGCACTAGTAGCCTACGCCGAGAGTTGCGAGTTACCGTTCGGAGATTACGTCGCTTCATTCGAGTTCTCTGCGAAATTGGATCACAGTGAGCGCTTTATCGGGCGAGTAGAAGGCTCGATTTATTATTCACATTTCTTTTTTTTTTTTCAGAACGGACTGCAGAGGGTGGAGGCTGCAGTCATCCGCTTTTCGAGGTGGACACCGGGTTTTTAGGTTATGTACAGGCTCTTTCTGGCTTCGCCAAACCTTCTTCATCTACGGTTGATGACTGCAGCCCTCGGCCCTGTAATGCCTACGCGTAATGTAAAAAGTATAAAAAATGACTGTGTGGGAAACGAGAGATAATGGCGAGGATAACGCTTCGAGGGCCACTGAGGCTCTCCGATGCAGTATAATGCTGAAAATATTAATTTCACGAAGAAGTATAAGGAGATTCAACGCCATGTATTGAAATCGTCCCTATTTTAGGGGCCGAAGACCTTAAGATTTTTTCCGATCTACGGCCGAGAGCGCCTCGATAAAATTTTGGAATTAAAGATTATCGTCCGCTAGTCTTTACGAACATTCTGTACACCATGCACTGGTTATCGTTTCGCTTTGCGTACCCTAATTGTAAAATTAAAAGCATTTTAGGTAATTTCGCGTAGGATTGAAGTTTCCTTTTTCTCCGCAAGGAGCGCTCGCATCGTTAGATCAGCGAAAATCTAAGATTCTGGGTCTCGATTCTAGGGTATCTTTCTGTGGAATCGATGTTGATGCCTTATCCTACTTCATGACGACCACTAAGTTGTATAAGGAGATACAATGTACTGAAGGAAACTATAAGGAGATACAATGAACTGCCATGTATTGAAATCGTCCCCACTTTAGGGGTTCAAGACCTTAAGATTTTTTCCGATCTACGGCCGAGAGCGCCTCGAAGAAATTTTGAAATTAAAAATTATCGTCCGCTAGCCTTTATCAAGTTAAAGACATCACATTCTGTATACCATGCGCTGGTTATCATTTCGCTTTCCGTACCCTAATTGCAAAATTAAAAGCATTTTAAGTCATTTACGTCGGTGGGGAATGTTTTGGTCGCGTAGAATTGAAGTTTCTTTTTTTTCCACAAGGAGTGCTCGCATCGCTACATCATCGAAAATCTGAGTTTCTTGGTCTTGATTCTAGGGTCTCTTTCTGTGGAATCGGCCATAGATGTTTTCTTATCCAACTGAACTTATCCTTTTAGATTGTTTATAAAACTTGAAACTGTATGAGTGTCAGAACCTTTCTTATTGTCTCCGCATTCATGTTGTAAAGTTTGAAACGTTTCGGTTTATCCAGTTCCGAGAAAAGTTTCATGAACGACTCTTCAGATGCCACTTTCACATCCCCTTAAGGTGATAAGGTAGGGTGTACCGAATCGTTTAAAACATTACAAAGCGCATATGGAGGCTATAAGGAAAGTCCCGACATCCGTAAAATTTCAATTTTTAAATTTACTTGACTCTTCAGATGCCACTTTCACATCCCCTTAAGTAGTCCCTTTGCAATGTTTCAAAGCTATCGACTAGTACTCTACTAAACCAAGTGTCTCGAGTAGCTCGGATGAAACTTTACATATGTACAGAAATGTCATGCCTGTCAAAAGTATAATAAACTGCGGTTACACCGTCATTCCAGTTAACGTAATGCGATCACTCTATTGCTATCTGCTGCCTGTCATAGTACTACTAGATGTCGGATTAAATCTAGACGAGCTCTAGTACCTAGTGTAAATATACACCATGTAACAAACTTTCATTATTGCGTTGACACTTTCGAGATGCGTATCGCGAGGTGATATTCGTTACAGCCCAGTAAACAGGTAAACGTTGGTTTTACACAGTTCACGACTATGTTAGATATTGTTAGGTTAGGTTAGGTTAGGTTAGGTTTCGGTATTGCAGTTCTTACACCCGAATATACTGCCCTTATGAATTGCGTTTGTTGGAGAAGCACGAAACGATTCCATCTATCACCGTTTTACGTCACGCTAAGTCGCGTCACACTTAAGTCGCACTTAATTTTCGGTTAATCTTCGCCGAGAATGAACTTATAGCTAATTTACCCCTGTGTACATATGTTGCCGGTTAGACTTAGCCAAAGAATTCAGAAGTCTCCACAGAAGCCCAGAAAGATACGGACGTTCGATGCTCGACAAATAGTACGTTAGCCAACGGATGGCGGCGCTGTAATCGTCTCTCCATCTCTCTTAATCTTATGGCGATATATGAGCCGCTCAGTGCACACATCGACTAACTCCACTTTTTGAAAAATCTTAAATTTAGGTGTCAAAGCACTTGGTATAGTCTTTTATATTTATAATATATTTCCCGATTAATAGAGATTAACACCATTAAACGGCAAAATTTTTTTGGGCATTGAATAATAAGTAATTTATTTCAGAAGCCATTTTGATTAACTCCATACTCTAATGTAAATCGTAGACGAATACCTGGCAGTATAGTATTATTGGATTATCTGTTGCGGCCGTACATCGACGCTTTTTTTTTTTAACAGCCGAAGATGCTTTCCCCCTTTCAACAATATGAGTAATAAAATCGCATCAGCAAACGGATAGAAAGAAGCGCAATGCAGACGGTAGTTAGTATAACAGTGATCTCTCCCGCTGAATGTTACCGTATACTTCACCAATATTACACGGACTACATATTTTTTGGTCTTTTCAACCTTACTCCCTGATTGTTTTTAAAGAACTAAATATTATACCGTTATAATCAAGATGAGTGAAACTAATAACAATGTGGATGTGGAAAGCAGGGATGATTCTTCAATACGATTTATCAGCAGAAAGTCTGGGGCAAGAAGACGTTCATCGTGTTTCTCGGATTCATCTGATTGCAACAGTACAAATTCCCCAACAAACCCATCGATTGGGAGGAAAAGAAGTCGTAATCCTGATAAATGGGCACGAAATTTACAAAAGCATAACGGAACAAAAGGTTTGGCATACAGGAATAGGGGAGGAAATGTAATACCTGCAAAAACATTTGTCGATATAAAGTGCAGGCGATTATTTTTTGGCTATTCTTTCTTATTAATTTTATATACCGTTAGATGAAAACTATAACTGTATTTATGTATTCTACATTATATATTTGAAGTTATATTATAATAGGAATTTTAAAAAAGAATCTACGTTACTTCATCGCATTTCTCAACTTTTTGTTTTATGGAGTTAATCAATGTGTGCACTGAGCGGCTCATACAGCGAATTGCATTCGTTCTTTATCTTACACCCAATACTCGCATTTCTATATGCGTCTTTCTTCCTCCCGTACGTGAGATATCGTTGGCTAACACGTGCGATCTCTTTTTTACCCCCACTTCCGGTTTGTTAGCCAATTTTTAAAGCATCAAGCGCTAACATAGGATCTGGGCTTCTATGGGACTTCTGAATTCTTTGACTTAGGACAATAATACGATAAAAGTAAAAAACTGTCTTATGAGCATCCGTATTAAGATAAAATTAACACAGGTAGAACAAAAGGCCTCGAAGAGGAGATTTAGTTCGCCCTGAATCCGACAGATGTCTCAGGGTAGCGCCCTGTAGTCGATCGTAGTATTAAAAATCCCAATTTCGAGAGATATCTAAAGTTTTACTTAGTTTCCTTCGTAATATTCTTGTAACATTTTATTTTGCATACAACACCCATTGCACGTATTCGACAGAAGTAATTGATTTCATTGCTTCCCTGCGATTAATCGCCACTATATGAATATGACTTTGCAAAATATACTTTTCTCAATTGGATGTATTTCGCGCAAGTTTTTTTACACCTACGGTGTTTGCGTGGTGATAATCATTACATGGAAACGGCATATGGGGTACGCCATTTCCTACAATACTCGATGTAATATATGACACAGCTGTCGATATAAATATGAACGTCGGTAACGTAGGTTGTTAAAATCGCTTTTGCCGACGTCGATCAAATTTCTCGCCGAGTTTTACTTAACCATGATGTCAATTAGTGTATTAGTAATGTTCCAACTGGTACGAAGGTGCCATATAGAGTGCACCTTACAAAACTAGAACTAACGACGGGTAATGAGTTGTACCAAGGGTATCATTACGCATCCCTGTTCACTGGGATGCATCGAGCCGAGTCCTAGCCACCGAAGCACTGCTTTGGATCTCCCAGAGGAACTATGTTACTATGTACGCCATGTAAATTACACATCATGGATGTCACATCACGCTACATGTTGCAAGGGTTACGCTATGGCACCTGGGATGTAACGGACTAGCATTTAGGCTCCCTAATTTCGGTCTTCGAGGTCTCCGAAGGAACTATCGTTTCTTCAAGATCTGTCGATAACTTGCAGGCCATCGCTAGATGGCAGCAACGTATCACTAAATGCCGCACGCTGAACATGAGGTTTCATCGTTGCTGCGTTCGTTGCCCTTGCTAAAATCGACTTAATCCCCTAACACGTACAATGGCGGACATGAATGCCTTCCCTGCAGATACGGCATCGCCTGTGCAGGATGAAAGCGCGTTGATGTCTCCCAGTGTACACCGTAGACATGAATGCCTCCCTTGCAGATACGGCATCGCCTGTGCAGGATGGGAGGGCATTGATGTCTCCCAGTGTACACTGTGGACATGAATGCTCCCTTGCACATACGGCATCGCCTGTGCAGGATGAAAGCGCGTTGATGTCTCCCAGTGTACACTGTGGACATGAATGCCTCCATTGCAGATACGACATCGCCTGTGCAGGATGAAAGCGCGTTGATGTCTCCCAGTGTACACTGTGGACATGAATGCCTCCCTTGCAGATACGGCATCGCCTGTGCAGGATGGGAGGGCATTGATGTCTCCCAGTGTACACTGTGGACATGAATGCTTCCTTGCAGATACGACATCGCCTGTGCAGGATGGGAGGGCATTGATGTCTCCCAGTGTACACTGTGGACATGAATGCTCACTTGCACATACGGCATCGCCTGTGCAGGATGGGAGGGCATTGATGTCTCCCAGTGTACACTGGGAGACATCAATGCCTCCCTTGCAGATACCACATCGCCTATGCAGGATGGGAGGGCATTGATGTCTCCCAGTGTACACTGTGGACATGAATGCTCCCTTGCAGATACGACATCGCCTGTGCAGGATAGGAGGGCATTGATGTCTCCCAGTGTACAAACTGCCGACGCGCCCTTAAGGTGAAGTGAAACACCCTTCAGATCAGTCGATTTGAATACATCACTTTTTAAGGGTATCAGACCAAACTGTCCGAAGCTTTGACACATCACTTCTGATCATCTAAGAATTGTCCCAACACATTGAAAATTTGGATTTTTGGAAAAAATTATTTAACTTAGCTAAGGCCAGAAACAAAATGGCGTCGAGCTCTCATATTTCGATCAATATACAATCATTGAAGGCTCTAATATGATAAACGAAAGGGTCAGGACAATTGTACGACAATTTAGAACACTCTGGTAATCGAGAAACTCGCATTTGAACGGGGTAAAGGTAAGAAAAGTGTCTTATGCGCGGTTATGCTAAAATGATGGTAATACGAGGTCATGGAGTGACAATTTAGTTAACTAGGAAATCACAGATGGCGCAGGCTGTCCCTCTGCATAATGCAACACAGTTCTCGATATAAAAACGAACGTCGGCAAAGTAGGTATTTAGAAATATCTCTTTTACCTACGTCGATCAAGTTCCTCGACATGTTTCACTTCACCTTAACCTGTACTTCTAACAAGAACATTTTCCTTCGTTCGAATAAAAAGGCAGACAGAATCGCAGTGTCTGCCGTGGAATTAGTGGCAAAGCTACTTCGAAGAGACCGAAAGACGTTTCTATTCCAGGAGGCACACAAGACACCAAGTAAAAGAGTATCAACGAACCTCGAGCATTCCACATAACCTCTCTATGTCCGATGTGACATTAATGCACGTACGTCTGATTCCATTGACTCGCTATCTGGACTAGATCATGAACGTTTCCTCGTAATTGGTCAGACTGCCCAACAAAGAAGCATACATCAACCACGCAGCAAATATATCATTTTTTTAAGCACTTAATCCAATTATGGCATAATTGCATAGACTAAACGATAAAATAAAAAGGACTGGCTGTTTTTAGCCTGGCGAAGAATTAATACACGAAAAATATAAGCTTTGTTCTTACTGTGGAATTTCAAATTGTTGTTAAGGGGATGTGAAAGTGGCATCCGAAAGCTCAATCGTTCAGAAAACTTTTTTACGAACCGAGTGTCTCAAATCGTTTCATACTTTGAAACGTGAATATGGAGAGCCTAAGGTAGGTCCTTAAACTCGCGAAATTTCATTTTTTGTAAACTATTTTTAAAATACCTATAAACAAATTTGAAAAGAATAGAAATTTCATGAGTTTCAGGACCTTCCTTATAGTCTCCCTATTCACATTGTAACGTTTCAAACTATTCGGTAAACCGAATTGGGAGAAAAGTTTTATAAACAAAACCTCTTCGACACCACTATCACTTCACCTTAAGGGGATGTGAAAGTGGCATCCGAAAGCTCAATCGTTCATAAAACTTTTCTCCAAACTGGGTGTCTCAAATCGTTTCATACTTTAAAACGTGAATATGGAGATCTTAAGGTAGGTCCTGAAACTCGCGGAATTTCCTTTTTTATAAACTATTTTTAAAATACCAATAAACAAATTTTAAAAGAATTGAAATGTCATGAGTTTCAGGATCTTCCTTATAGTATCCCTATTCACGTTGTAACATTTCAAACTATTTGGTAAACCGAATTGGGACAAAAATTTTATAAACAAAACCTCTTCGATGCCACTTTCACATCACCTTAAGGTTAGGTTAGCCTGCCGAAGAATTAATACATGAAAAGGATACGCTTCGTTCTTACTGATTAATTTCAAATTGTTAAGGTTTGTCGGAGGAAGTTTAACGAAGCAAGACACCCTGCAGAAAATTAATTCTCTCTGGGGGATGTTAATCAACGACATCAAGATGAGAACTCCTTTGTTGAGGTAATCTTCAAGTCGGTACTCAACTGACGAATTTTCTTAAACTTCCTTAACCACTTAGCTGTTTTCGACTGGTATACGTTTTTCAAAGAGGTCGCAACAGCTAACTGGTTAATAAGAGCAATAAAATGTTAAATTACATTTTTTGCAGCATACGCTGAAACTTGTCCTGTCTGTCTCGCAGCAAACTGCATCGCACAATAAACGCTTGTTCTACGTCCGTAGATGTACACAGGTATATATGTTCATTTAATTCTTTCTGAAGCACTTCCTGCGTGCTTATTGTAGGCATCTTTGATGTGTAGCCTGCCTTACACGCACATATATATATGTATAATAAATGTATATATATGTAATCAGGTGTCGCCTCGCGATAGCAGTCGAGTCGGGCGTCCAAACTTCTCCCCGGAGTTCTCTTTCTATCGAGATCGACATTCCAGAAGGCGACTGACAGGAATTCCCATAGGAGTAATAAAGCCCATCACACATACCTCGCGTTAACGATAGTGCAATGATAAAGATAAAAATGAATCAATCAAATTGTTGACATGGGACGTCATATTACATTTTTTTGGAATTTAATTGGCCAGTTTTTACCATTCTGCTTATGGTTACTGTTATGCGAAGAATGCTTGAATGAACTAAGTTCATCACATATACCTCGCGATAACAATAGCGCAATGGTAAATATAAAAATCTATCAATAAAATTGTTGACATGGGACGTCATATTACATTTTATTTAATCTCAATGGCCCGTTCTTATCGTTATAGAATTATGTGTGAATGACTAAGTCCTTCACACTTGCCTTGCGTTAACAGCAGCGCAACAGTAAACATATGAAACCATAAATCACATTGCTAACATAGGACGCCGTATTGCATTTTTTTGGAATTTCATTGGCCTGTTCTTATCGTTGTGCTTATGGTTACAGATATGCGAGGTATGTGCGAATGACTAAGTCCTTCACACTTTCCTCGGGTTAACAGTAGCACATCGGTACACATAATCCGTCAATCAAGTTGTCGACAAAGAACACCATAGTAAGTTTTTTGAAATTTGATTGCCAATTTGTTATGTTCATGGTTATCGTTACGCAAGGTATGTGCGAAGGCCTTAACGCTTGCCGCACTTTTCGCGTCACAGGGGCGCAATGGTAGACATACAAATTGGTCGAAGGGATCGACCAACACATCGTGTTAAATTCTGTGGAATTTGATTGACCAATTTTTAACGTTATGCGAGGTATGCGAGAAGGGTCTAATTACTTCCGTGGGCGCTCGCTAGAGTCGTCGAGACCAAACGGGAAGACGACGAGGTGGACGTTCGGACGCTCCTCTCTAAGGCCGATATTTCATTCCGATTATTTCAGAATTTTCGTCGCTCAAATGAAACATAAGCAACGCCATCGCGCGTCGTCGCAGGAAAGCTCAACAATGACGAACCATTGTGCGATGAAAATCATCACTTCCGGCGATAGAAGTTCCACTCTACTCTTTCTCTGCAGCAATTCAGAATCGCTCATTCTCTCCGTCACGCGATGCCGTCGAAAGGAAGAAACATCGATCTCAGATCGACATTTGATCAGTTTTAGCGTCAGACTACGTGTTTGCGACAGAATTTTCGTCGCTCAGATGAAACATAAGCAACGCCATCGCGCGTCGTCGCAGGAAAGCTTAACAATGACGAAAGTTCCACGGTACTCATTCTCTGCAGCAATTCAGAATCGCTTATTCTCTCCGTTACGCGATGACGTCGAAAGGAAGAAACATCGATCTCAGGTCGACATTTAATCGGTATTAGCGTCAAACTACGTGTTTGCGACAGAATTTTCGTCACTGAAAGAAACATAAGCAACGCCATCGCGCGTCGTCGAAGGGAAGCTCAACAATGACGAAAGTTCCACGGTACTCATTCTCTGCAGCAATTCAGAATCGCTTATTCTCTCTGTCACGCGATGCCATCGCTCAAACGAAACATCGATCTCAGGTCGACATTTAATCGGTATTACAGCGTCAGTCAACGTGCTTGCGACAATAATTCCGTCGCTCGAACGAGTCATACCCATGACCATCGCCCATCTTTGCAGAAAAGTTGAACAACGTCGAACCTCCGCGCAACGGAAACCACCCCGCAACCGTACGACGGAAGCGTCCCTCGCGACTCCACATCGGCACCGCCGATAGGCTATCATCGCGCGACGCCATCGCAAGAACGAAGTATCGGCCTAAAACGAAGTATCGGTGAAAAGGTCTCGTACGTGTGACGGTTGGGTCTACGAGCAAAGAGACCGGGCGTCCCCGCCTCTCTCGGGGCGCCATCGGACCGGCTGGCAACCGATTCGGGTACTACTTCGGGGTAGGGCAAGGCAAACGGGACGAAAGAAAGGAGCGCGAATCGTCGCCAGACAGTCGTTTAGGCGTGCCTTCACGAGATCTTGTTGCGCCACCAGGAGAACTTCATCTTCGGGCTGAGGTACTGGAAGCTGACGACCGAGTGCGGGATGAGGGCGAGGATGGGCAGGAAGCTGCCGCAGCTGCGAGCCTGGGGCTCGTCCTCCTGGGCCTCGGGGCCCGAGGTCTGCCCCAGGGCGGCCTTCTGGCAGGGCGTGGAGTACGGGTAGGGGGTGGACAGTGGGTTGCAGGTAATATGTACACTCTCCGGGTTCCACCTGGGGCCCGAGGTGGCGTCGGGAAGGTCGACGACGTCGGCGGTCTTCAGCGAAGCCTTCCGGTACACCTTGGACCTGGGCGGCGGCTTCGCGGTGGGCAGATGGGGCGCCGAGGAGGCCCTTGCGGGCGGGTCCTCGGCCGGCGTCGACAGCATCGGCGTCCGCCCGAACCTCGGCAGGTCGTCGCCTCTCCCCGTGGCCGAGGAGTGCCGCCTAGTGGCGAGCTTGGGCGTCGTCTCCTGGTCCTCCTCCTCCTCTTCCTCCTCCGGCCGGAGGTCGGGGCCTCCGTCCTCCGGGTGGGCGGCGACCGGCCGACCCGGGCGGTTGCTGGCGCGGTTCGCCCGCGCCGCTCTGGTCGCCCGGGTCGGCCTCGTCCTCGGCATCGACGGCCGCCCGGAGGAGGCGTTTCTCGCCCCGTTTGTCCCGCGTGGCTGCGGGGCAAACGAGGCGTCCTTCAACCCTCAGCTCGGGAACTTGGAGTAGAAGGCGCAGCTCAGGTCGTAGTTCTTGAAGCGGCAGTACTGCACGTCCTCCCGCAGGTAGTCCGCCCCGAAGTCCGGGTACTCCTTCTGGCCCAGCTCCCGTGGACAGTCCGCGGCCACCGACTCCTTGTTGGCGAAGATCGTCACCACGAACTTGCCCGGCTTGAAGGTCTCCAGCACCCGGCGGATCACCTCCTCGTAGGACGCCTCCGGGATGTTGCACTCGAACGACACGTACGAGAACTCCGGCTCCGGGGTTATGTGGATCGTCATGTAGTTGCCCTGCAGATCGAGAAGGGGTCACTTTAGCTACGTGGTGCGTTTCCATCTTTCCGCGGATACGTGTCGAGGAAATTGGTGACATCAATTTCTTTCTCAGAGAACCGATTACTTTTTTTTAGGCTACTGAATCGAACTGGCCGAAACTTTCACACATTACTCGTGATCATCTAAGAATCGTCCTGACACATTGAAAATTTGGATTTTTGAAAAACATTTTTCAACTTAGCCCAGACCAGAACCAAAATGGCGTCGAGCTCTCATATTTCGATCAGTATACAATTATCGAAGGCTCTGATATGAGAATCGAAAGTGTCAGGACAATTTTACGACAATGTATAACACTCTGGTAATCGAGAAACTCGCATTTGAGCGGGATAAAGGCAAAACAAGTGTTTTATGCGCTTCTATGCCAAAATGATGAGAATACGAGGTCTGGGAGAGAAAATTTAGTTGACCTGGAAATCACAGATGGCGCTGCGGGTCCCTCTGCAGTCAATTAGGGCCCCAGAAAGCATGAATCCAGAAGATTTCTGGAGTTTTACCTCGATTTCTTTTTAATTATTGCACGAAAACGACAGGTGGAGGATGCCATTTAGTACAATACCCAATATGATTCGTCACAGCTGTCAATATAAAAACGAACGTCGACAATGTAGGTATTTAGAAAAATCTTCTTTATCGACGTCGATCAAGTTCCTCGACGTGTTTCACTTCACCTTAAACTATGGCAATAAACCAGCCGCGGTAAGCTTACGCTTTTAGAGACTCCGTTCATCGAGTAGCCACAGGGCTCGAACAGGAAGTCGTCGATCACCATATTGGGGATGAGCTTCTCGATGCCCGACTTCTCGGTCGCCTCGGCAGCCGAGGAGCAGACGTCGCGGGTGAAGATCGACATCACGTCCGGGTCCAGATGGGTCATCAGGATCTCCAGCGTCTGGTCCGGCTCCCGCTCGCCCTGGGACGTCTTCTCCCTGTTCAGGGTGTACAAGTACCAACAGTCCATGTCGGCAGACCCCAAACAGTAAGCCTCGCCGTCTGGAAGACCGAACGATTTCGTAAGACAAACCATAACGTAGCACAGTGGGAAATTTTTAAAAACTAACGGAACCAACCGTCATGAAAGTAGCAATTAAGGTGATATGAACGAACGATTTGCAGGAGAATGCTGGCTTGTCCGTGGGTAACTCGGGCTTTTAGAGCAAAAATATAGTTGCAGCTGTGCATCACATATGGCGCTGTTGGTCCATTGGAGTATTAAAAACCACGAAGTCACGGGTTTTCGACAGTTTTACGTCGATCTCTTTATCATTACTTTGTACAGGGTGTCCTATAATAGATAATAAACCTCTCAAGGGGTGAAATTTAGAACTAGAAGTTCCTTTTCCACTTTTTGCTCAGAACATTTTTCATCGAGTTATCAGTATTAGGGGGGCCGGGAAGTAATGTCGTTTCTGCGCATTGAATTTAATGTAAGAAAACGACATTACTTTTCCGGTCCTCCTAATAGTTGAAGTTGGCCAACGAGGTGGCGCGCGACCGAAGTCCTCAGGGGCGTAGCACGTCGTGGGGCCCCTCGCTCATGCCTGATGTTCCTCCAGAAAAATGTCACTTTAATATGTTAAATTATTTAATCATATTAAATCATTATTTAATCATTCACATAAATAAGAATAAAAACAGTTTTAAATCGGTCAAATAATTAATTTAACAATCATTCTTTAACTATATAATTAATCAATAAATAACCGATTGATCGACTAATTGTCCAACGGATTAATTAATTAAGTCATCCATTTATTCACTGGTTGGCTAATTAATCAATTCCTTGCTTAATTACTTGTACAAAATTAATGAGCTGGTGAATAACTGTTGTGAACACGGTTGCTAAGGAAATTTTACATGGATTGCCTATGGCACCAACATGAATTTTTTTATTATGCGTCGCCGGTCACCGGTGACCCCCATGGTAGTCAACATGTTAATCATATTTTTTATCCTCTAATTACGTGAATCATTTTTTGCTTTCTGAAATCGGGCTGACGGGTAAAAGGTTTTAAAGCAAATTTGTTGTTCAAAAAACAATTTATTTGTGCATAAATGTTTCGTGTTGCAAACCTTAATTGTTTATTTAACAATAAATTTGCTTTGAAACCCTTTACTCGCCTCCCCGCTATCTCAAAAGTGAAATATTTTCCACATTCAATTAAGCAAGGAATTGACTAATTAGCCAACCAATGAATAAATGGATGACTTAATTAATTCATTCATTAGACAATTAGTCGATCAGTAATTTATTGATTAATTATGTAGTTAAAGAATGATTTTTAAATTAATTATTTGATCGGTTTATAACTGTTTTTTTTTCTTATATATTTATTTATACATTCATTTATTAAATAATTTGATATATTAAAATGAGATTTGTCTGGGGGAACTTCAGGCATGAGCGTTGCCTCGTTGGTCAACTTTAACCCTTTGCAATCGACAAATTTCTCTGATGGAAGTACCAGCTAGTCGGAGCAAATTTAGCACATGACGCACATCTCCATGCCCCAAAAAAATAATTTCCTCCACCATTTGAGGGATTATTGACATCATGCCGCCAGATTGGCGGCATCGAGTTTTACGACGATTTGCGAATGCCGCCATTGTGGCGGCATCGACCGCAAAGGGTTAACTACTAATAACTCGATGAAGAAGGTTCTGAGCAAAAAATGGAAAAGGAACTTCTGGTTCAAGATTTTACCCTCTTTCACCCCTTGAGAGGTTTGCTATCTATTATTGGACATATTGTATATGGAACATTGCATACTTTATATATGGAACGCCTCATTCCGTATAATTCTCAGCGTAGAAGGTAACAGACTGCAACATAAATATAAATATCGGTAACGAGACGCGCCAGCTTATGTTACCACTTGAGTATTCAGAATATGACGTCACCACCAAAAAGGGTATAGATGAATTTTAATATATTGACCTCGATTAAATTTCTCAGTGCCTTTCATATCATCATAAGTTGTACTATCATTTTCTTAACCAGACGGATTATACTATAATTAATATATTCTATACCTTATGTCCTACTATATAGAATACTATAACTTATGTCCTAGAATTCATGGGCTTGAAGATGGCAACACTGCCTGGAAACGATGTCCATAAAGTGCATTGCCACTTTAGCACAATTCAATAAAATTTCTTGCAGAATATGTTGCTAATTTATTGCTGTCTTATTACGCAAAAAAATGTATTCCTTTTATAGTTTTCCGAAAAACTGTGGCGATGCCAGTTTTATATTAAACTAGCATTGCCACACTATAAAAATAATAACACAACAAATGTTCATAATCGACCTATTCGCCAGAATTTACGTCTTATTACGCAAACAAATTTATTGCTCCTATAGTTTTCCGAAAAACTGTGGCGATGCAAGTTGTATATTAAACTAGCATTGCCACGCTATAAAAATAATAACACAGCAAATGTTCATAATCGACCTATTCGCCAGAATTTATTGATAATTAATTGCTGCCAGAATAATCAGCTTTATGGACATCTGGAAACGCCATATACACAGAGAAGGCATTCATGTTCGTCTCTGTACACTGCCAGACAGGAATGCCTTCCTTATGGGTATTGTGCGGCCTTTATACGATAGGAAATCATTCGTGTCCCTCCCTGTACATGGCGCACCGGACATCGTGAGTCATGCACCTCGCACAATGCGTAGACACGTTTGTTCGTTTTGCCTACACTTTCTACCCTTTTACGAAAAGTGTACACATTGGCGTTCGTTTTGACGGAAGTGACGCAGACGTCGCTGTTTGTTTTGTGAGGGCATCTACCTTGAGTGTACACTTTCTCTGCACATTCTACCCTCGATCCCGAACGAGGGTAAGAAGGGTAGCCCGCGAATTTGGCGGCAAATTTCAAAATTGAAAAGACCAACAGACAGGAAAATACAAAATTTATGCTAACACCTCAACGTAATATAAACAGAAGTAATTATTAATGCATCTTCTTCGTGTATGGAACGAATTAGCGTTTTAGTTTTGTACGTAATGTTTGAAAATATTTACAATAATCATGTATTACTACGTAACCGCGGTTGGAATTAACTAAACTATAATTTTTCCCTGTTGTAGATAAATTGTTTTTCATTCTACTTCAATAATATTCTGACCCTTATTGATCCTCGATACCTGAAATTCGTGAAAGGAATTTTCATCTTCTGCAATTAGAAGATAATAGAACGAATTGTAGGATTTGAAGAAAACGAAGACAGCTCAAGAAGGAAGCCTAGAAGAAGCATTTCATTTTCGTATTCGTCATCGTCCGATACGGATAACCTCAAAATCGCGTACCGCTCTACTAAATCGGTCATCGTGGACTTTCGTGAGGTTCCTGGCGTTTGGAACGTCCATGAAAGTGTATCTACCCTTCTTCACCTTTCAAGAAAAGTGTAGTACCCTCGTTACCCTTGAGGGTAGAAAGTGCAGAAAGTGCCTCATCAATTGCTAGAAGATGTAATGGGGGAACCATTACATCTTCACTTTCATCATCATCCGATTCGAATGGCTCCAAAATCGCATACTGTCCCGCTAAATCGGCCATTTTGTACTTTCTTGAGCTTTCTGACCTTCGGATGTCGACGAAAGTGTATCTACCCTTCTGCACCTTTCAAGAAAAGTGTAGTATTCTCGTTACCCTCGAAGGTAGAAAGTGCAGAAAGTGCCTCATCAATTGCTAGGTGTAATGGGGGGAACCATTACATCTTCACTTTCATCATAACCCGATTCGAATAGCTCCAAAATCGCATACTGTCCCGCCAAATCGGCCATCTTGTACTTTCTTGAGCTTTCTGGCCTTCGGACGTCGACGAAAGTGTACCTACCCTTCTGCACCTTTCAAGAAAACTGTACTACCCTCGTCACCCTCGAGGGTAGAAAGTGCATCATCATTTACTAGAAGATGTAACGGGGGAAGCTTTACATCTTCACTTTCATCATCATCCGATTCGAATAGCTCCAAAATCGCATACTGTCCCGCCAAATTGGCCATCTTGTACTTTCTTGAGCTTTCTGGCCTTCGGACGTCGACGAAAGTGTATCTACCCTTCTGCACCTTTCAAGAAAAGTGTAGTACCCTCGTTACACACGAGGGTAGAAAGTGCGGACATCGCGAACAAACCTACGGTAACGCTTCAGCTACGTCATTTACCGGGGAAGAAGGTGTCCAGCAAGGCGACCTCCTCCTCGAAGGCCTGGTGCGGTGGCATCTGCAGCTCCGGCCTCTTGTAATTCTTCCGGGAATAGAACAGGTCCTGAAATATTCAGAAGATCAACATCCGTCCGAGGAGTCCCCGAGGAGTCGCCGAAGAGACACCTCGGGACGAGCGAGCAAGGCGGCCCAAATTTCCCCACGTTTAGACCCTTTCCATCGTCCCTTTCTCGCCAGGTCGAGTTACAAATTCTCCGGGGCACGAGAGGACGCCAAATGGGCGAGAAATAGGGTTCTCGCCCGCCTGCCATGGACTAAGGGATCGATCGATAGACCAAGAGGTGGAAACGCATCTCCTATATAGAGGGGCGCGTCACTTGTCCATGCACTAGGTCAAGTTATATAGCCAAGTACTTCCCAATTTCAATGCCCGTCGGGAAATGACGAAACTACGCTTGATCGCTAGGTGTCCCTCTTCGGAAACTGCGCATCGTGCATGGAGACCCTTTCGCCATGAAGTCGACGCAACAAGTAGCGTTAAGGAATGAAATTACATGGTGCTCGAGACGGAGGTGGCCGTGAAGAAAGGATCGCGAGATATCCTCGTTGCATCTTTCATATAATGGGCATTGCGTATCGAAATTCTCATAAAAACGATTTAAATAAGGCTATGGGATGAGATTATAAGGTACCTCAAGTACCAATGGTGCACGCACGTAGCCTTGGAAAAAGGATAACATTACACGAATTCATCAACTGCACTTTGCATTTGGAGTCGATCGCCATGAAGTTAACACAATAAGCAATGTTAGGGGATGAAATTACATGGTACTCGAGACGGAGGTGGCCGTGAAGAAAGGATCGCGAGATATCCTCGTTGCATCTCTCACATAATGGGCATTGCGTATCGAAATCCTCATAAAAACGATTTAAATAAGACTATGGGATGAGATTCCAAGGTACCCCAAGTACCAATGGTGCATGCACCTAACCTTGGAAAAAGGATAACGTTGCATGATTTCATCAACTGCACTTTGCATATGGATCCGATCGCCATGAAGTTAACGCAATAACGAAGGAGGTGAAATTACATGGTACTCGAAGGGCAGGTGCTATTGAAGAAAGAATCGCGAGATATCCTCGTTGCATCTCTCACACAATGGGCATTGCGTATCGAAATCCTCATAAAAACGATTTAAGTAAGGCTATGGAATGAGATTCCAAGGTACCTCAAGTACCAATGGGGCACGCACCTAGCCTTGGAGAAAGGATAACGTTGCATGATTTCATCAAGTGCACTTTGCATATGGAACCCATCGCTATGAAGGTAACGCAGTAAGCAATGTTAGGGGATGCAATTATATGGTACTCGAAGGGCAGGTGCTATTGAAGAAAGGATCGCGAGATATCCTCGTTGCATCTCTCACATAATGGGCATTGCGTATCGAAATCCTCATAAAAACGATTTAAATAAGACTATGGGATGAGATTCGAAGGTACCTCAAGTACCAATGGGGCACGCACCTAGCCTTGGAGAAAGGATAACGTTGCACGATTTCATCAACTGCTCTTTGCATATGGAATCCATCGCTATGAAGGTAACGCAGTAAGCAATGTTAGGGGATGAAATTATATGGTACTCGAGGCAGAGGTGGCCTTGAAGAAAGGATCACGAGATATTCTCGTTGCGTCTCTCAGATAATTGCACATTGCGTTCCGAAATCCTAATGAGAACGATTTAAGTAGGGCTGTGGAATGAGATTCCAAGGTACCCCAAGTACCAATGGTGCACGCACCTAGCCTTGAAGAAAGGATAACTATGTTGCACGTCCTCATCAATACTGTATCGCCCATCGAAACCCTTGCCGTGAAGTTGTCGCAACAATTAGTGCCAGGATATGGGATTCCGTGGTACCTCAAGTACCAATCATAGAAACCCGTGAAACCTTCAAGTAACAATGGTGCAAACCAATGGCTCTGCAGAAATAACTATACTGTACGTCCTCATGAATACTGCATCGCTCGTCGAAACCCTTGCCGTGAAGTTGTCGCAACAATTAGTGCCAGGATATGGAACTCCATGGTACCTTAAGTACCAATCATAGAAACCCGTGAAACCTTCAAGTACCAATGGTGCAAACCAATGGCTCTGGGGAAATAACTATATTGCACGTCCTCATTAATACTGTATCGCCCATCGAAACCCTTGCCGTGAAGTTGTCGCAACAATTAGTGCCAGGATATGGGATTCCACATGTCCACAACGCTGGCATTGCCACATTTAGGGATGAGTAAAAGAATCAAAGTTTGGTTTTTCTGTGAGCAATTAATTAGCAATAAATTCTGGCGTATACGTCGATTATAAACATTTGCTGTATTATTGTTTTCATAATGTGACAATGCTAGCTTAATATAAAGCTGGCATCGCCCGATTTTCGAAAAAATGATAAGAGTAATAAATTTCCTTTTACGCAATAAAAGAGCAATAAATTGGCAATAAATTCTGCAACAAATTTTAGTGAATTGTGCTAAAGTGGCAATGCCTGCTTTATGGACATGGATTCCATGGTACCTCAAGTACCAATCATAGGTCCCGAAAGGAGACGACATTGCCCGTTTCCATCAACTTATGTATCACCCATTGAATCCCTTGCCATGAAGTCGAAGCAACAAGTTGTGCCAGGAAACAAGGAGGTGCGTAAAGCTATTTTTGATTATTTAAACAGATTTTTGAATGGTGGGGGTGCTAGCTTTATTAGTACCCAGCACCCCTACAGAAAAAATTGAATTTTCATTCCAAAAACCGAGTTAGCACGAAATTTGCGAATGTAGCACATAATTAGCACATAAAGAGCACAAAATGTTAAGACAAAGAAATTTGAATTTTGTGCTTTTATGTGCTAATTATGTGCTGCATTAGTACCCAGCACCCCCACAGAAAAATTGAATTTTTTTTTCCAAAAACCGAGTCAACACAAATTTTGCGAATGTAGCACATAATTAGCATAAAGAGTACAAAATGTTAAGACAAAGAAATTTGAATTTTGTAAAGGTGGGGGTGCCAGCTTTACGCACCTGAAACAATTGCATAAATCTGGCACCTCCACCTTTACAAAATTCACATTTCTTTGTCTTAACATTTTGTGCTCTTTATGTGGTAATTATGTGCTACATTAGTACCCAGCACCCCCACAGAAAAATTGATTTTTTTTTTCCAAAAACCGAGTTAGCACAAAATTTGCGAATGTAGCACATAATTAGCACGTAAAGAGCACAAAATGTTAGGACAAAGAAATTTGAAATTTGTAAAGGTGGGAATGCCAGCTTTACGCACCTGATACAAGGTCCCATGGTACTCGCCGCCCGATGGTGGCGAATTTCGCAGAGCAGCAAATTCCTGCAATTGCAGCGACACTTTTCGCTTGACCTTGACATCGCTCGAGCATACTCCGACGCGATTAGATTTTCTTTTCGCTCGTAGATACATCCTTAGGACCCCGAGTTACCGATCTCTGTACTAACTGGATAGCCATTACGCCACAAAATGTCGATTTAAGGTGAAGTGCCCCTTAAATCAGTCGATTCGAATAAAACACTTTTTTTCAACACTTCGGCTACTAACAAGGAAGGTATCCCAGATCGATCTCTCCGATTTGATTTCTTTTATAATATGTTATAGTAGACTAAAAACTAAGCGACACGTATTTTTTTTAATCCGCCATTAAAAACTGTAAGGGGGTGAAACCCCCATCCAAAGTAAGGCATGTCAAGGGGCGATTTGGCAGTTTCACCCACAAGAACATAATATTTTTTAACCAATCCACCTGGAAAAGCTTTCTCACAGAAATGAAAAATATAATTTTCTGAATTAAAGAAAAAAAAAACAATTAAGGGGTGAGCCACCCCTCACAGGCCTTACTTTGGATGGTGGTTTCACCCCCTTAAAGTGTTTAATGGCAGATAAAAAAATAATACGTGTCGCTTAGGTTTTAGTCTACTATAACATATTATAAAAGAAATCAAATTGGAGAGATCGACTGAGATACTTTCCTTGTAAGAGTGCCTAAAGGTGCCCGACGTTTGGTCCAATATTGCCTGCACGGTCAGACGAATTTCGCCCATATGTCGAAATGGTTCCGTGTTCAATGGGTTAAGGGTATTGGATCGAACCATCCGAAACTTTGACACATAACTCGTGAGCACCTGGAAATTATCTTAATACTTTGAGAATTTGGATTTTTGACAAGAATTGTATAACTGAGCTCAGACCAGAACCAAAATGGCGTCGAGCTCTCATATTTCGATCGACATCCAATTATTGAAGGCTCTAATATGAGAGACGAAAGTGTCGGGACAATTGCACAATTTAGAACACTCTGGTAATCGAGAAACTCGCATTTGAACGGGATAAAGGCAAAAAAAGTGTCTTATGCACCGCTATGATAAAACGATGGGCATACGAGGTCTCGGAGTGAAAATGTAGTTAACATGGAAATCACAGATGGCGCAGGGGGCTACCCTGCAGTCAATTAGGGCCTCAGAAACCGTGAATCCAGAGAATTTCTGGAATTTTACTTCGATTTCTTTACAATTATTGTACGAAAACGACAGGTGGAGTACGCCATCTAGTACAATACCCAATATAATATATGGGTATATCCCGACTATCTTTATTGGGTTACATCGTCACCGAATCTGTTGCGAAACATTTTCAGTCTCAAACTGTTTTTTTATTTATTTATAAATAATTGTATGTTATGAAATCAATGACATTTTGAGGCATTAGCACGTTTACACGATTTATGTACAAGGAATTGGTCACGATATAACCCAATAAAGACAGTCGGGATATATCCATATACCACCTACATCTATTCTTGTCAACCGATGTATAAATGTTTATTGGCAAAAAGCAAAAAACACGTATGTCCTCATTTTTCGTGAGCAATCAGATGGAGTAAATGGAACTTAAATTGGAGTGCTTGTTTAATAGATATTACATTCACCCCCTTGAGGTGGTGTAACATTACTGGACAATATTTTGTTTTCACCATCCTTATACAAAATACGTTTATGCAAAGTTTCATCGAAATCCCTCAGCTGCTTCCACGAAGATTAATATAAAAATTGAATTTTCGCCAAATTTTTGGGGGTAGTTTCATCCCTTAAATATGGACCGTTGCAGATAAAAAAAGAAAACACGTGTCCCTTAGATTTTTATGTTCTTCAACATATATGAAACTCAATAAGATCGGCGGCGGACACTTGGGAATGTTTCCTTGTTAGACGTTAACTTTAACCTACGGTTAGATCATCAATGGTTTAACCGAGGTTGGTGGAACCGGGCATTAGAGGTATTGTTTAGCCACAGAGGACGTACAACGGAAGTTCCCTCCGTCGCAAACATTTAAATTCTCATAATTTCTCGGAGAAAAAAGAAGCTTTGGAGAAATGACCGACAAGCTGGCAGGAATTTCTCATCGTTCCTGACGTAACTTACCGCGTTTAGAACTCTAATGATTACTCGGAAACTTCAGGGCATTGCAGCTCCTTCTACGCATGCGCAGATGGTATTTGTGTGGTACCGCTGCCCGTATGCGGTGGCGCTGGTGTGCCTTGAATTCGTCGCAAACCTCTCCGTATAGAGCAAATAGGTATCAACTATCCTGTTATTCCAGGGATCGGTAGAACGAGTACTTGTTCTTTAATCGCCGACGTACCTCGACTTCGTCGAATCCTGTGTACTGTTCGACGAGATGCAACAATGGCTCCAGACATTGTAGGGGAGTTGTGGTGCCGCAGGTCTTCAGGATCAGCCGGCGTTTCGACACGAACATGCTGCTCTCACTGGAAAATATCAAGCGATATTTTAGTTAATTATATATTAGAGATTATTTTAACAAATCACGCTTATCGATCACTGTTCTTTCTCGCAACGCGTCTTATGTAGTATGCGGACGGCTTTCTATTGTACTTTTTACCCCGTTAAAAATGTAAATTGCATCCTCTTTTGCGTTACAAAATCGGGTTTAAATTATATGATTGATTCCACGGTTGAAATTAATGGGTAAAGTTTGTCCAAACGAGTTTCGAATCTTCCAAAGCCTTATGAGAAATTGTTTAAACCAACTGTTAAACAAAACATGTACGTTAGGTACACGCTAGAACGTTACAAAATCGGTTTTAAATTATATGATTGATTCCACGGTTGAAATTAATGGACAAAGTTTGTCCAAACGAGTTTCAATATTTGTGACACTTAATCAGTAATCGTTTAAACCAGCTTGAAATGTTAAGAAAAATTGTACATTAAGTACATACTGTTAAGATTGGAAATTTCATACATGTTTCGTATTTAAAATTATCTTGAAATTAATACGAAACGTTTGCAAATCTAAAAACCTGTTTCAATATTTGTGACGCTTTATCAGAAATTGTTTAAACCAGCTCGCAATGTTAAGAAAAAATGCACATTAGGTACATACTGTTAAGAATGCAATTTTATACATCTTTCGTATCTAAATTTATTTTGGAATTAATACGCAACGTTTGCAAATCGAAAAACCAGTTTCAATATTTGCGACGCTTTATCAGAAATTGTTTAAACCAGCTCGTAATGTGAAGAAAAAATGCACATTAGGTGCATACTGCTAAGAATGAAATATCATACGTGTTTCGTATTTGAAATGATCTTGAAATTAATACGCAACGTTTGCATATTTAAAAACGAGCTTCAATATTTGTGACGCTTTATCAGAAATCATTTAAGCCAGCTTGTAATATTAAGAAAAAATGCACATTAGGTGCATACTGCTAAGAATGAAATATCATACGTGTTTCGTATTTGAAATGATCTTGAAATTAATTCGCAACCTTTGTAAATCAACGATTGAATTTCGAACTCTTTGCCGTCATATCGAAAGATGTTTGGACCAGCTTATCAAACTAAAAACGACGTAAGAATTCCTTGTAAGAATATTTTTCGCCATGAAGGGAGGTTTCGCGAATTTCCCCTCGTAGGGATATCGTTCCCTCGAAAAGGAGGATCCTTCTGGAATTTATCTTTAAAGCGGAGCGATGCTGGCATCTCTATATTTATCTTGTCGATAAACGGAGGTACGATTCCCTTCTATATTTAATAGGGTAGTTATTTTCTCGCACTCCGGCGAGGTTGGGGCGAATCGATACGACTCGGCAGTAAAGCTAAAGGTTACAAGAGCATTAACACTTTCCATCACCATCCACCCCACCAAACACCATTACACCATTTACATCTCCACGGAATTTAGTCCATCGATTTGCAATCATTTCAGGACGTTCGATAAGATTCATAAATCTCCCGAGGAACGAATCGGTGATAGAAATATGCCCATAATTATGAAAGTGGTCTAAGTCATAATTGAAAAAAAAAAAATGAGTTTATCAGTCATTTCACGCCACATTATTTTAAACTAAATTAATTCAATGTAATTTCGAAACAAAAAATATATGACTTAGACCACTTTCATAATTATGGGCACAAATGACGGCGGCAAAACTGGAGACTTAAGGTGAAGTGAAACACGTCGAGGAACTTAATCGACGTCGATAAAGAATATTATCCTAAATGCCTACGTTGCCGACGTTCGTTTTTATATTGACAGCTGGGTCGAATTATATTGGGTATCGTACCAAATGGCATACTCCACCTGTCGTTTTCGTACAATAAATATCAAGAAATCGAAGTGAAACTCCAGAAATCCTCTGAATTCATCATTTCTGGGGCCCTAATTGACTGCAGAGGGACACCTTGCGCCATCTGTGATTTCCAGGCCAATTAAATTTTCACTCCGAGATCTCGTATTCCCATCGTTTTAGCATAGAAGCGCTTACAACACTTTTTTTGCCTTTATCCCGTTCAAATGCGAGTTTATCGATTACCAGTGTTCTAAATTGTCGTAAAATTGTCCTGACCCTTTCGTTTCTCATATCAGAGCCTTAGATAATTGTATATTGATCGAAATATGAAAGCTCGACGCCATTTTGGTTCTGGTCTGGACTGAGTTAAAAAATGTTGTCCAAAAACCAAATTTTGAATATGTCAAGATAATTCTTAGATGATCAGGAGTGATGTGTCAAACAATTTTGTTAAAAGATCTAAATTTTGAATGTGTCAGGACAATTCTTAGATGATCATAAGTGATTTGTCAAAGTTTCGGACAGTTTGGTCTAATACCTTTAAAAAAAAAGTGTTGTATTCGAATCGACTGATATGAAGGGGGTTTCACTTCACCTTAAGGTGATATGAAAGGGTCGTTCTGTATACATAAAACGTCAAAATGTTTATAAAGCTATCCTCCAAACTGAATGCATTGAATGCAGCATGTAATTATGGAGACCCCAAGGAAGAACGTAGTGCTCATCAAATTTCTTTCTATTATTTCTTTAGTTCATTGAATATTTTTTCTCAGTCTATGTTAACTGTATAATAGCAAAGTTTTAACCAACTTGATTTACAATACTTTTTGAAATGTAGGTCTTCTAATTTCTAAAGAAAGAGAAAATTTTAAAAAACGGTACGACTGAATTTAAGAAAAAAATGGCGCCGATCTTCCTAACTTAGTGATGTCCTCCTTACAAACGGTTTTCAATGGTATGCCGATTATCTCGTGAAATCAGTTGAAATTACATAGTAACTTCGACAAACAAAGCCGTCTTATAAATCTCCTCTTCGGGGCAAAGGTGCATTTCGGTTCCGAGAATGCAACACCGGATTGCGATGCATCGCCGATGCAATTAGTATTATTTAAACAACAATCGCTCCGAAAGCCACTGCTAATCTTATCGGCGACTCTTATCCGCGTATCTGTAAGAAAATAAAAAAAAAAAGGAAAGATGGCTCAACGACTCTACAGACTTTTCTCTAAGCTAAGCCAATAATCTAGGATGTCCGAGTGACGTCACGGCTGACTTACGTTAAGGTGATGTGAAAGTGGCGTCGGAGAGATTTTGTTTATTAAACTTTTCTCCCAATTCGGTTTACCGAATAGTTTGAAACGTCACAACGTGAATAGGGAGACTATAAGGAAGATCCTGAAACTCATGAAATTTCAATTCTTTTAAAATTTGTTTATAGGTATTTTAAAAGTAGTTTACAAAAAAGAAAATCTCGTGAGTTTCAGGACCTACCTTATGGTCTCCATATTCACGTTTCAAAGTATGAAACGATTTGAGACACCCATTTCGGAGAAAAGTTTTATGAACGATTGAGCTTTCGGATGCCACTTTCACATCCCCTTAAGGTGAAGTGATAGTGGTGTCGAAGAGGTTTTGTTTATAAAACTTTTCTCCCAATTCGGTTTACCGAATAGTTTGAAACTTTGCAACGTGAATAGGGAGACTATAAGCAAAAAATGTAAGGTACGACTTTCATAATCGTCGGCACAATCGTATTGGCACTATCAAACAAAAATCATTAAAATCGGGCAAAAAATGTAAGATACTACTTTCATAATCATCGGCACAAACTTATTCGCACTATCTAACAAAAATCGTTATTAGGTGTACAACTTTGCTTCCGCCGTTTTCTTATAGATGACTTTAGCGGTAACCGGCGAAAACAAAATTGTACACTTAATAAAATCGGGCAAAATCGTAGGTCGAGTGTATCCGGTTTTTCAGTCGTTTTTCTTCAGGGGGAGATAAAGCCAACCTTGGGCCTTATCCGCCGTGGCCAAAATCCGGAATATTCTCGGCTTTATTCTCGTCTGTTTTTCACTTCCCCAGATACGTTTATCAGATAACGATCCGTAATGTTCGTCTCATCGTCGTAACGGGAAAGGCGATAGGGATGGGAGATTCTGAATCGATCCATTAAGGTGATATAAAAGTCTGATATGTACATAACAAAAAGTGCAAATATTTATAAAACTTTTCTACAAACTGGGTGCACCGAATTATCTGAAACTTTAACGCGTGATTACGAAGGCTCTAAGGAAGAACGCGCTGCTCGTGAAATTTCATTTTTCGAAACAAATCTTGCATTTATCTCGGACAGGAATGAAAGGAGGATATTTTTTTTCGAAAAATGAAATTTCACGGGCAGCGCGTTCTTCCTTAAAGACTCAATAATCACGTGTTAAAGTTTAAGCTAATTTGGTGCACCCAGTTTGGAGAAAAGTTTCATAAATATTTAGACTTTTCGGTATGTATATGTCACACCTTTATATTACCTTAACGCCTGGAGTACTTGACGTTTGCCACGTGCACCCTCGTTGAGGCACTCCGGTACGATTTGACGCTGATCGCATTTTCTTTGAAAGTACCGCGATAAGGTGATACGAAAGTGTGATATATACGTAGCAAAAAGTGAAAATATTTATAAAACTTTTCTCCAAACTGGCTGGACCGAATTATTTGAAACTTTAACGCGTGATTATGAAGGCTCTAAGGAAGAACGCGCTTTGAAGATACTCTCATTATGTGTCAAAATTTCAGACAATTCTATCCAATCCCCTTAAAAAATGTCTCATTCGATTCGACTGATTCGAGGGGGGTTTCATTTAATCTTAACTACATATAGAACTTAAAATATGAATTCGCAGAACATGCACAATATTTTTGTCAGCCTAGAAATGCACAAAGGGCCACTGGACGCCACCAGGTGGATGCAGAAGAGCGACCACGTGGTCCGCATCGCCACGGCAAACGTCCGCGAATTGACGATAATCTTGTTATGTATCTAAATTTCAAACAATTCTATCCAATCCCCTTAAAAAAAGGATCTTATTCAAGTCGACTAATTTGAAGGGGGTTTCATTTAATCTTAACTACATATAGAAATTTAACATGTGAATTCCCAGAGTATA